ACTTGTTCTTTCTCTTCTGTCACATACCACATGTATGTGTAACCATATATCTCATATCATATCACATGTATTATATATACATGTATTCACGTAAATCATTTCATGTAATTCATATCACATATATCACATGTGCATATAAGCTTATAGCTTCTTTCACATATACATGTAGTCACATAGCTTTCTTTCATGTAACCATGCATGTCATGTCAAATAACATATACCATATGTTGCATTTTCACTTAAGCATATAAATCATATAACATAGCATCCATATATTTCTATGTATTAATGCATACATAGTAATCACATAACAATTTAGAAGTTACTTCTTACCATAGTAACTCCATCACTGGCTCATCGCAAGCCAATGTTAATTCAATAAAATAAGTACAAAATAAATTTCACTCACCTGGCCTCACTAGTCTATTCCAATCTCTTATCTTCCATTTTTATCGATCTTACTTGTCAATGATTCCGGAACTCGTTTAGGCTCTGAATCTACATAATAATTCATTGATACTTATCAGTATACTAATTAGTATATTCTAAACTATCATTTCTTAGGCTAAAAGAAAAGCCATTTTCATCTTTTAATGGAGGCATGCATCGATGCACTCCTGATGCATCGATGCACTGAGGGCATTCGATGTTCATTTTATTAGAAATGCATCGATGCACTCCTTATGCATCGATGCACTGACGACATTCGATGTTTGTATTTAAATTAATGCATCGATGCACTTCATATGCATCGATGCACCTTCAACAAATTTCTGGGATTTATCATTGATGCATCGGTGCATAATAAAATGTGCATCGATGCACATTGCCCAGAAATGTCATTTAAGCACGAAAATCTCTTCTTACTCTACTTGACACTTTATATTTCCCCTCTTTTAATATCCCTAACTTACATACTCTTACTTAAACTAATTATTATACATTAAATACTTCTAAAACTTAGAAATCTAATTCTCCATGTAGAATTTAAGAATCTAACCCAAATTCCAACATGTTCTAATTTGAATTCTAACACCTCATACTTCTTAGTTAGCTTTATGACAAGTCAAATCCCACTTTCAATTCTTATTATGAACTCTACTTCAAGATTTCACTTTTCTACTTCCTTTCTTTAATTCTTCCTATACTCCTCATCTTATGGTTTTAAGATAATCTAAGCTTTCCTTAAGCTTAGTTATTATCTAAGGATCAATAAGCAACCTTAAATTCATCAAGAATTTGATTCACAAGAAAACTCAACTTTAGCTTGGCTTCACGGGGAGAAGAAGAAGAAGATGAGAGAAATGTCTAGAACTCTCATTTTTCTCCCAAATGCCATCCACGTGGGTTATAAGATAACCCCAAATAATATTAAATTCATTTACTTGATAAAAGACTAGTTTGCCTTCTTAACTTTTCCTTATATGCTAAATTATCCTTCTCCAAATATTTTAATCCAGTTCATGAACTTTCAATTTATCTAATATGGTCACTGAAATTAAAATCTCACAATTTGATCACTAACCCGGTATGAGGGATGTTATAAAGAGAGTAAGAGCTTTCTTTATAGTTCAGATAGGTATTGAAATCACCTCCCAGAATCCAAGGAAGGGTTCCAATCCTTGAATCTAACTCTTTAAGATGCTGCCAAAGAGATCTTCTAGCAATTCCATTGTTATTCCCATATATAACAGTGATAAAGAAAGAGGTATTATTATAGAGGCATTTAATAGTAATACTTTGATCAGTTGAAAGAAAGTGGGAGAGAACTATATCTTTTTTCCAGATGAGATAAATTCTACCATTTATAGCAAATTCATAATTAGTAAAGACATTCCAGCTCCCTAAAACAGTATTGATGATTTTATAAGATTTTTCAGGTTTGACCCTAGTTTCCAGCAGACAAAGAATATCAATTTTGAGGATATTAGCTCTATTTAAAACTTTATTTTGTTTATGAGGATTATTGAATCCTCTGGTATTCCAAAAACCAATTAACATTGAGAAATAGAGGAGGATGTACCCTCTATTATTCCATCTGAGGTACATTTAACTTTTGAGACTTGTTCCTTCTTTTTTGCCTTAAGATCTTTTATTAACTTTGCTACTCCAGCAGCAGCAGTTCTGGATTCCTTTACTGGAATTTCAATTGCTGAAGAATTCTCATCTACTGTTGTCAGAATATAAAACCTATTTGCTGAGCCTCTTAAAGCAGATTTTGATTTGATTTTAAGGGGCCTACCTCTTCCTCTTTTAGGTTTAGGAGTAGTGTCATTGGTTTTAAGAACTTCTTGGGTTAGGTTAGAAATATCCATAACTTCATCATCACCAAGAGGAAGGAATTGAGCCACTGGAATTTCCATATTAACAATAGAAGATTCCAGGTTAGAAGCTTGATTTGTTTGACTTTTAGGAATGTTTATAGGTTCTGATATTTGATCCTTGTTAGCAGAAACTTCTCCATTCTTGGATGAGGAAGATTCAGGCAAGGAGACTTGAGAAGTATCAATGTTTTCCAGTGATTATTCAGTCTTTTCATTTAGGGAAGTTTTTATCCTCCAAATTTTAGGATTTGAAGGAGCAGGGTTATTTTTGATGGTACATTCTTTATCAGAATGTCCGAAAGTACCACATTTCCTACATCTAATTGGGTACCATGGAGCTTCCACATAAATTGTGGAAGATGAGCCATTAGCCAGAATCACATCTATTGAATCAGGTAAGTTTTCCTTAGCTCCTATTTCAATACAGACTTTAGCATATTCTAACCTAGTTTTAGAGGTTGTAGTTGAATCCATTGTTAATGGAATACCTAGAGCACTGGCTATGTAGCTGAGACCTTCCCTAGAATACAATTCTAAAGGGACATTGTACAAGTGAACCCATAACGACAGTCAAGTAAGATCAAAATTCAGTCTCTATAAATTTGGTTCCCACTTTCGAAGGATTAACGATTTATTGAAAATGTGCCAAGGGCCATTCTCAATAACCCAATCCCTAGCAGCATCATATTTAATGGATAAAATATAAAGATTATGCCCAGCAAGGCTTACCTGAACAGGAGCGATATTTTTCCAGATTTTCTCCGTTACTCGCTGAAGAGACAGGAAGTTTGGAGCAGTTCCTAAGAACTGACCCACCAGAGAAGACTTCTATTCCGCAATTCCAGCCTCGAGGACCTCCAAGGGAGGTTGAACAGTTAGGGTTTTTTCCTTCGATTTTGGGGGAAAATAGGTGAGTTCATGATCGGCTTGACACCCAAAGAGTTTTCTCCAATCCATAGCACCAAGACAAGAGAAATAAGTGAGATGAATCACACTGATGATTGGGAGACCGGAAGAAACACCGGCGACGAGACGAGAACACGGGATCCGTTAGACCCACTAACGTGCGCCCAGAGTTTGGTTTCGCTTCATTCAATTCATGGCCGAATGTGGTTAACCACGAGGAAGAAGAAAGGTACAATAGGATTTGGTTTAAACCCAAAAAATTTCAATTTCTCTCCAGTTCTGTTGGTTTTGTTCGTTGCTTGCCTTTCCACTTCCCCCTTTACCTGCTTTTTTGAAAGCAAACACATGGTTGAGCCAAAGAAGAGAAAGGAAGAAAGACGATGAGACGTACAAAAGTTTATGATATGATTAGTTTAATAAATAAATAATTTAATTAAAAAGTAGTTATATGTATAAATGAGGTTAGTTCGAGTAGTAAACAACTTGATATCATTTAATCAAGTCTCGAGTTTAAGTACTTATGTATGTAGAAATCTCAGTTAAAAGATTCATCCACCGAAATCAAGTATGTGACTCGAATCAGTCCGCCTTAGTCAAGACAAAGTCTTGAAAATCGAAAGAAAAAAAAAATTTATATATGGGGATGTATAAGCTCTCATGTTAATATACTCTTATCTATGTTTTTGTAGTATGGTATAATTTTATTCAACTCTATATGCATCTACGAATCTATATTTTGATGTACTATTGAATAGTTATTTTATAATCCATGAAATTTAATATAAAATTTATTATAAAACGATCAAATTGTGCTCTATGGTGAATATATCTAAAGAGTTCAGAGTTAATTTATATTATTAGTCTATATATTATATGCAAGTTACATATTTAAATTTCACACAATAATTTAGTCATTTTTAATCCTGTATTTTTTACATTATGTATTTTTTTTAATTCGATCAATTTTAATTTATGTAATTCAATCATGAATAAAGTATGTGAATGATCCTCCGACTATAAGATACTATTTTATTAAGTTTATCGACTATTAAAAGTTATAAAATTGTCCTCTAACTATAGAATGTTACTTTGTTGAATCCCTCGACTATCAAAAGTTACAAAATGATCACCCAACTATTCATTATGTTCCAAACTCGTCATTTTCTATTAAAAAATCGGACACCATTTGTATACTTTAGCCTTTAATCATTTGGTCCATATTTTTTTGTATAACCACCGATTTCCGATCTATTGATCGACTAATCCTGATTCAGTACTACAGAAGCAAGGACAATCCTCTTAACCCAATTTACTTCATTCATAATCGTCAGGATTTGAACTTCTAATCTAGTTTAAGGGATCTAATATCTCATCCTACTAAAATAATTGGTTCTTGGTTCGTATGGTCCACGTTTAATATAAGGATCATTTATTATTATGCAAGGGATAATTTAGTCATATACAAAGCCAAAGATCTCCCTCCATAATTAATTATCCAAAACAGAGAAGAAACGACTTAAAAATCGCAACAGAGTAACAATGAAAGGTTAAAAAATAGGAATTTGACATAACAGAAATCCCAAGTTTCATGCAACACCTTAGACTCAATCATCTACTTCTGCCTTCTATAATGTGTGTTTCACGTAGATTGTTAAAGGAGCTTCGCAACCGTAGAGCTCCCCCTTTTATGCGGTTGAAAGAAGATTGCTAGCATCTTCTAGACATACATTTCGGTCCCGAAAAAATCATTTTGGACTGATAGCTTAAAGAGCAACAACGAAGGCGATGTCGATATCGAAACGTATCCTATTTGTAACCTTTTTGTCAACCTTGTTGATTACTTCCAGATTTGCACAAGGCGATAATAAAAACGATGGCGACGAGGAGGAGGAGGAAGACGATGGCGGTAGCGCAGATGAAGAGGTTGTGAATGCGGAAACAGGCGTCACGTACGACGGACGATCTTTGATCATTAATGGAAAAAGAGAGCTTGTGTTTTCGGGTTCCATTCATTACCCTCGCTGCCCCCCAGAGGTAATGTTGTGCTGATATGCTTTTCATTTGACTGATGCTAATATGTTGTGCTGAACTATTTGGGGTGCAGTACTGGGAGGATCTCATTGCCAAGGCTAAACGTGGAGGCCTCAACTCGATCGAGACTTACGTTTTCTGGAACGGTCATGAGCTGGAGAAGGGGAAGTACTATTTCGAAGGAGATTATGACTTGATAAAGTTCATTAAGTTGATCGACAAGCATAAAATGTTTGCGATCGTGAGGTTCGGTCCGTTTGTCCAGGCTGAATGGAACCATGGGTAAAGGTTCAAAGACTTTCTCACATCCTTATTCAATCCACATAGCTTCAAACACTCCTAACACCGTAGCTTTTATCATGGTGACCTTTCAGAGGATTGCCTTATTGGCTAAGGGAGGTTCCCGGCATAATATTCCGTTCCGATAATGAACCGTTCAAGGTAATTAACATAAGCAGAAATCATACTGTGACTCGAAAGTTTCTATAACGAACTCTTTTATGTTGTGCAGCATTACATGAAGAAGTTTGTTACGATGATCGTCGAAAAATTGAAAGGAGAGAAGTTGTTTGCTTCTCAAGGAGGACCTATCATTGTATCTCAGGTCTGATTGATGATACTCTAATTCTGCCATGAAGCCTATATATATCATTGATTCTAGTTTCGATTCATTGTACCTTTCGTAGATCGAGAACGAATACAACACTATTCAACTAGCATTCAGAGAAAAAGGAGAAAGCTATATTCAATGGGCTGCAAAGACAGCCGTAGACATGAACATCGGCGTTCCATGGATAATGTGCAAGCAGAAGGATGCACCAGATCCAGTTGTATGATTATCATTAACTATAAGGAACATGTATGCATTTTTCATTGCTTTATTAGTAATTTACACTTTCATCGTTCTGCAGATCAATTCCTGCAATGGCAGACACTGTGGAGATACTTTCGTCGGTCCAAACAAACCCAACAAGCCTTATCTATGGACCGAGAACTGGACTGCACAGTAAGCATTTGAAGATGTTCACTTGAAAATTCAGAGTAAGTTGTGTATTATAGGCTAATGATGTGGTTGTTTCATTCCGATTCAGGTACCGAGTATTTGGAGATCCGCCATCTCAACGGTCCACAGAAGATTTGGCATACTCGATCCTTCGGTGGTTCTCCAAGAATGGGACTTTGGCTAACTATTATATGGTAGGAGGAATGACAATCTTCACTAAATGGAAGCCTTTTTAGACGGATCTCACCATTCCGTTTTCCTTGTTTTGCAGTACTACGGTGGCACAAACTATAACAGAACAAGCGCGGCTTTCGTGTCGACTCAATACTATGACGAAGCCCCTATTGATGAATATGGTAGGATTATGAAACATTGTGTATCTGATGACCATTGGATTGAAGTCTTTTATTCAAGCTAATGACAGATTTTTCTCTGGATGCTGTAGCATTAATCAGAGAACCAAAGCATGGCCATCTCAAGGACGCTCATAGGGCAGTAAACTTGTGCAAGAAGGCATTACTTTTAGGGACTCCTTCGGTCGAAAAGTTGGGCCCTAAGCTAGAGGTAATCGTTTATATGTACAATAATCTAGCTGGTTCGATCGGAGAAATCAATTATGGTTACTTGGAGCTTAAGCTATTCTCCAATGCAGGCTCGAGTCTGGCAGGTGCCGGATACAGCAATCTGTGCTGCTTTCTTAGCCAACAATGACACGGCTACACCGGCTACAGTTCGTTTCAAGGGAGGAGAATACTACCTGCCAGCTAACTCCATAAGTGTCCTCCCTGACTGCAAGACCATGGTTTACAGCTCCCACTTGGTTAACCCTCGAACCCTTCTTTTATATCATCTGATATCTGCATTACGCGTGCTCGTTCGACACGGTTAAACATCATTTGATTGTTTAACACAGATCACATCACAACATAACTCAAGAAATATGGAAAGATCAAAAGCTGCTAACAATTTTGAGTGGAAGATGTACAAAGAATCTCTTCCGACCCAATTTAAAAATAAGACCAACCAGCCGGTGGAGTTATATTATTTGACCAAAGATACGACAGACTACGCTTGGTACTCGACCACTATCCCTTTGAGCGAACGCGACATGCCACTTAAAAAGGATGTCCGACCGATCATTCGGATCGCAAGTGAAGGCCATGGTGTTTATGTCTTTCTGAATGGCGAATACGTAGGTTTTGGACACGGTAGCAAAGTCGAGAAGAACTTTGTGTTTCAGAAAGATGCAAGTTTTAAGACTGGGAAAAACACTATTCATCTCTTGTGTTACACTGTGGGACTTCAGGTGAGTCTTTTTTTGCAAATTAAGTGAAAGTTAAAACAAGCATACGATGAAAGATTTTCTTCTTTATGCATTATAGGATAGCGGTGCCTACTTGGAGCGTAGGTACGCTGGGCCTCGTTCAATCACCATTCTCGGTTTAAACACTGGTACAATCGATATAACGACGATCGGTTGGGAGAACCTGGTAGGAATTGATGGAGAAAAGAAGCAATTATACACCGAGGAAGGCTCACAATCAGTACAGTGGGCAACTCCTAGCGGTGATAAACCCCCTATAACATGGTACAAGGTAAAATATAAATCCAAAAAACCTGGGAATTGAATTTCAACGTTAAAAAAAAAGCTCTAACATGTTGTTTTTATAGGCATATTTTGATGCACCTGAAGGAAACAACCCAATAGCCCTTAGAATGACTAATATGGGCAAAGGCATGGTGTGGATCAATGGAAGAAGCATTGGCCGATACTGGATGTCCTACTTGTCTGCTCTTAAACAACCAACTCAATCCGAGTACGTCTAGACCACGATACATACTCCGATTGTCGCATTAGGTCCCGATTTCCCGAATAAATCCGTTATTTATGCGCCGTGTTTTCAGGTACCATATCCCAAGGACATACATAAAACCAACAAAGAACTTGATCGTCGTGTTCGAGGAAGAGGGAGGCAATCCTAAGGAAATCGAGATCGTACTGGTCGATAGGGACACGATCTGCAGTCTCGTAAGCGAAAAACACACGCCATCACCGAGGCTATTCAAGAGCGTAAACGGTAACCTACGTGCAAAGTCGAATGACTTGAAGCCCAGTGCAAAACTAGTATGTCCCAAGGAGAAGAAGATCGTCGCCGTCGACTTCGCCAGCTTCGGAGATCCCTACGGGACTTGTGGGAACTTCTTCTTCGGGAATTGCACGTCCTCCGTTTCCAAACAAGTCGTGGAGAAATTCTGCCTGGGAAAACCGGACTGCAAGATCCCAGTGGACGAGGGGCATTTCGGGAGCCAAAACGATGCTTGTTCTAATCTGAAGAAGAAACTGGCCGTCCAAGCCCAGTGTGGTTAGCTTGAGACCATTTCTGGGCATTCGACAGAGCCGAAAACTAGTTTCTGAACCATTAACATTTTGTAATAGGATGATTGTTCACCTTCCAAACCTGGGGATTTTATTTGTTTTATTCATCCATATTTTGATTTGTATATATTTATATGCCTCTCTTAACACAAACACACCCGTGTGTCTGTATATTCACTTTTCAACAAATAAACAAGCCAAAATGGCCATTTTGCAGACTTTTCATCTGGAAAGCCATAAAAATAAACCGTATTTGTGTTACTCAGGTTTTGAAATGAGCTCTCAATATGTTATTATTTTAATTATTTGTGTTATTGATGTTGTACTTTATATCTGTATATAGACTATATTTTGTCTCTTATTCTAATTTTTTGAAGTATTTTGACCCTCAACGTTTCACTTTGAGATAAAAAGCTCTCTTTATAGATAAAAATCATCAGTTAACATGTGATTAACGCTCCAAAATAAGAGTCTTTTAACCTAAAATAAAATGTTGAGGGCTAAAATTCCCAAAAAGTGATAAAGTGATTATTCTATTAAATGTTAGGTGTTTTTTGACCTAAAATGAAATATTAGGGGTCAAAATACTCCAAAAATAGAAAGAAGACAAAATGATCATTTTTATAAACGTTTGGGGTTAATTTTGTCATTATGCCTATTTAGAAAAAAAGTAAAAAATTTGTTTTTAAAAATTCAAAAATATAAAATACCTTTAAATCAAATAATCGTCTTTATAGATTAAAATTGTATAAAATTGTTTAGATTAAAATTGAAAGGAAATAAGCTTCTATAGGGGTTCGAAGTTGGATCTAAAAACCGTTTGTACATGCTTCTACCATTGAATCAGCACTGATGCATATTCCATATCTCATAACATATTATATTTATTTTGTATTATAATAAAAACAATAAAATAAATCTAACTTTGAATTTGTGTTTTTTGACCTAAAATGAAACATTAGGGTTCAAAATGCTCCAAAAATAGAAAGAAGACAAAATGATCATTTTTATAAACGTTTGGGGTTAATTTTGTCATTATGCCTATTTAGAAAATAATAGTAATAAAATTTGTTTTTAAAAATTCAAAAATATAAAATACCTTTAAATCAATAATATCGTCTTTATAGATTAAAATTGTATAAAATTGTTTAGATTAAAATTGAAAGGAAATAAGCTTCTATAGGGGTTCGAAATTGGATCTAAAAACCGTTTGTACATGCTTCTACCATTGAATCAGCACTGATGCTTATTCCATATCTCATAACATATTATATTTATTTTGTATTATAATAAAAACAATAAAATAAATCTAACTTTGAATTTTTTTTAGAGAACGTATAAGCCCCAAAACTATTTAAACAAATTTAATTAATGATTTATAAATATGTACATTTCATATATTTTAAAATATAGTTAATATATTATTTAAAAAATAAATTTAATGGTTTAAAATTAATTTCATCAAAGTTCGAATTCAAATTTTAAACTATATTCATTTTTGTAGAATCAAAGTATAGTTTTAATTTTTTTAACTTAATTAATAATCTTTATATATTATTTTATTTTTATATATAATCATTAAATAAAATTAAAATTATTAATTATTAATTATTTTAAAAAATAATTTAATTCCCTTTATGTTAGTTTAGTAATAACATATATATAAAAAAATTATTGGGTTGCTTAGTCTAATGGCTTAGGCGTGCTCAAGTGTCCCAAAGGTCTGTGGTTCAATCCCCTTCAGCTGCAAATAAGCAGTTTTCAATGTTTTGGCTTTAAAAAAGGTAGAATAAAATAAAATAAATAATTAAAATTAATTAAATATCTTCCAATCTAATTATGACATGTGTTATATTATGATTATATAATTAATTTATTAAATTTAATTTAATTTAATATCAAATTAATAGAATATATAAATATTGATGACTAAATATATAATTATATTAATTTATTTAACAGTCACATTATCATTTCGTTAACCGCAATATTTAATTGAAATTAAATAGTTATGTGGTGTGATTGATAAAATTAAAAGATTGATGAAAAAATTAAATAGGATAAATAGTTAAGTGTCAACTCAGTATTTACTCTTTTTTTTATAAATACAATAAATCCCAAAATTTGCTCGCCTCCCGAAGCTCAAACAGTCCAAACAATGAAACCATATCTAATCCAGGCCCGTTTCATTGGCTTATCTTCTTTTGGTTTTCGAATCCCAAGTAAACAAGCTCATATATATATTAAGCTCCCCTTCAACATTTCCTCGACTCTCCAGCGTTGATAGAAGCGAACTAGAAAGCATTTCAATGGCGTTTCCAGTAGTTGATACCGAGTACGTCAAGGAGATCGACAAAGCTCGTCGAGTCCTCCGCGCTCTCATCACCTTGAAGAACTGCGCTCCTATCATGCTTCGCTTAGCGTATTTCTCTATTTTCATTTTTTGTCTTCGTTGTTTGTTTCTCATAAAGGAATCAATAACTATAACAATAATGAAAAATAAAATTTTAGAGTTGATAATCAAGAAGTTCAATAGATAAACCTGAAAATCGAGGCGAAGGAATGCTATTACTTTTTTTTTATTTAACTTTTCTAATTGATGAATTCTTAAGAAATATCATGCTTCGTTTAGCGTATTTCTTTACTTTCTTCTTATTCTTCTTCCTTGTTTGTTTTTGTAAAGGATCCAAGAAATATAGCAATAAGGAAAATGAAATTTAGTTCTAGTAATTAATAAATAACAGATCAACCTGAAAACAGAGACGAAGTACTGTTATTACTATTTTTTAATTTTAGTTCTGTACGAATGAATTCTCATTTTGAATTGATTGATTTTCCTGAAGATGGTACGATGCTGGGACGTACGATGTGAGCACTAAGACCGGTGGTCCGAATGGATCCATAAGGAATGAAGAAGAGTACACTCATGGCGCCAATAACGGCTTGAAAATTGCTCTTGATTTTTGCGGTTTGATTCTAATTCTTTTTTTCTAGTTCTTTAATCTAGTTACATATAACCGTTAAATCCGTGTAAATGTTTATGGATTAGTTTTTTAATCTGTAATTAACATCCATTGCAATAGTTTACTCATAGCTGCTACTAGTGAACTAAGGATGTAGTCTTGCGAGCAGTTCAAGATTGGAAGAATATAGATCGACTTATTCCAACATTATATTTTGGGATTTATATCATTTCCACAGTAGCACAGTATAGATACATTTTCCATTTGTCTATTACCTGCCGTTCAAAATCAATTGTTGAGCTTTCAGATTCCTCTATTCCAGATGTGAATGTAATGATTGTAATACTATAGGAATGAGAAATACACGTGACATTGGTGTGGCTTCAAGTCCATTCTTGTTGATATAGAGATTTCAGAATCTGGAATGTTGAAACGATTGTTAACTTTGCACTCAGTAGAGGGGTTTTATTTTCCTTTCTGAGGGTTAGAAATCTTATAAGATGGAAGCAGGATTGCTAGCTGCCAATTATGTTGAGGAGTGATATTAAAATAGGTTTTAACAACGGAACCATTTGCATCAATATTTCACATACCAGCATGACTTATTAATAGAAAGGAGTACGTCAGATCTGTTGAAATTTCTCAGTAAAAGTTAGCTCAGTGTAATGTAGTTTGTATGATCCTAATGCAAAAAGGAAAGATATACACCAAAAAGCGATTGGAGTGATCTTATTTTGATCTCACTACATAAGGTTGAACTCGTGGCTTCATTAGGTTTGAGCCATTTGGGTTGGGTGGTACTTTGTTTGTTGCCTTGTTTCGAAGTACCGTCGCTTTTAAAGTGAACTTCTATTGTCTGGTTGTCAATTGTGTCCTCCCTTGGAAATTGGTGGTAGAAAGATGCCAATATTCATAATTTGTTGATGTTAATTTTACCAGCTACTATCGGTGCTAAATTTGTAAAAATGTTAGAAATTTGAACGTCTATGCTAATTTTTTTTCATATATTTTCATGCTTATGCTCGTAACATATCTTCATATGTATGCCATGGTAGTTTATGTTAGAATATACATCTCAAAAATAAAATATGTTTGCATTTTTTGTTTTATTCTAACTTAAGAGTATTCTCTTTGGCACATTTCAGAGGGAGTGAAGGCTAAACATCCTAAGATTACATATGCAGACCTATACCAGGTGATTATGAACTTGAAAGAGACCATGCGTTTTATTCCAGATTTAATTGCATCATTTGGAGCTAATCAGTGTGTTAATGTCTAATTTTTCTTTTCCTTTTAAAGGATATCATTGCATGCTTCCCCTGCTTCTGTTATGTTATGAGCTTACTGGGGAAATAAAGAAACATTAACGCACTGATTAACTCCAAAAAATTTATCTAAAATCCTTGCTGGAGCTTGAGGCAAAGTTCTATGGTTTAGGTTCTTCAGAGGAAGGCGTATTTGTTAATTAGTTAACTGGATTATATCTGTCATGTAGTAGTATGTCAACTAAATACAGTATTGTATGGAACTAATATTTAGGTAGGTCTACAATTGTTTTATGAAAGATCTTCATGAATTAGATTTTGAGGGCATTGCTGGTACTTAACAAGAAAGAAGTGGCTTGCTCATTGTAGTATTTATTTATTTATTTATTTTAAATGACAAAAAAAGGTTATAAATTTTGTTAAATTTGTGATTTGTAAAAAAGGTAGTTTGAAATATTGAAATATGAATTGCATGTGTAATTACTTGAGAGGTCTCACTCTCTTTGAGTTTGAGAATGTTTAGTATACTTACAGTAGTAATGTTCTGTTCTTCGCGCATGTGTCATCATATGTTGCACCCCACAAATGGCTGCAATTGGATTAAATTGAATCATAACTGTATCATTTTCAATTTCAGCTTGCTGGTGTTGTTGCTGTTGAAGTCACTGGAGGTCCTACTATTGACTTTGTACCTGAAAGAAAGGTGTCTTGTAGGGAGCTTATCTTGCAAATATAGCTTTTTTCCTCTTTAACTTATTTGCTTTACTGTGTTCTGTTTATAGGATTCGAACATTTGCCCCAAGGAAGGGCAACTTCCAGATGCTAAAAGAGGTAAAATAAATTTCTGAAGCCATTTATGGAACAAAAATTTTGAATTTTTCATTCTATATATCGTAAATTCGGATTTCTGGGTAATTGAATGTTGTGAATGCTTATTCATTTCGGTAATTAGATGGTCTATCTCATAAATCTGGTCATATTTTGGCATTGTATCATTGTATGTTAATGATTTCTTCCAACCGGATGGAAGAAATAGTACTCTTTAAGAATTTGGAATCTCGCTACTTTTGGCTAATATTTATGTGGCTTCGCTTTCTGTGTTGATCGAATAAGTCATGAATTCTAAGCATTTATTGTTTTCTGTTTATCAAAATAATAATTCTTTCGAAGAATGCTTAGTTTGGATGAAAAATAGGTTACTTTAACGAGGTCTAAATATTCCCTGTTCTACATTCTATTTCTTTAAAACCATGGTAGATTGGTGAATAAATGTCTGGATTGGGATTGTTGGCCAGAAGTTTCTTGCTGGTGGTTTAAGACTTACTTTGTTTTAGAACCCTCAGGATTGTGGTTTGGTTTTCCTGTCATGTTTGTATGTCTATAGGCTAGCCAAGAATGGGAGTACCAGGACCACAGTTACTGGAAGTCTTTGTATCAGCAGCAAGCTATTCTCCAGAATCCCTTTTGTATCATTCAGGTGATACAAATCAGACTAGTTAACAATAGTGACATCTGAGCAATATTCTATACATGGAGAGATTGGGTTGTATTTATATCCATGCAACCTTTTTCATTGACCAATCATTCTGTTGTTTTTAGAAACAACATATTCAAGTTCCAAAAAAATGTTTTTTTCCTGGTAATGAGTTCTGTAGTAATCAATTAATCATGTAGTTCAGAGAACACTTTTGTACACATTGCTCCACATCTTATCAACTAATTTAAACTGCTTGTCTAAACTTATGTTTCTACAGTCTGAACTTGTGTAATCTAAATTTTGCATCTCTTACTGCCCCCTCTTGAATCATGATGTTAGGTGCACCTCATCTGAGAGACATCTTCTATCGAATGAGTCTATCTGACAAGGATATTGTAGCATTATCTGGGGGGCACACTCTAGTACATTTTTCTGACGAATGATATTCTGATTTTCTCTATGCCTGGATTTGTTTGTTATATGATCAATATCATGCCTTTTGTGTTGGTTTTGGTGTTTACAGGGAAGGGCTCATCCAGAGAGATCAGGTTTTGATGGTCCTTGGACCAATGAACCTCTGAAGTTCGATAACTCTTACTTTGTGTAAGATTAAATCTGTGATTTGCAAGGTATCAAATTTCTATCTTACAAAGAAATTATATGAAGTCGTTTACGATTATTGTACCAGGGAGCTGCTAAAAGAGGAATCGGAAGGACTTTTGAAACTTCCAACAGACAAGGCTTTGTTAGATGACTCTGAATTCCGCAAATATGTAGAGCTCTATTCCAAGGTAAACACTATAACTCAATTCGTTGTTTTTGTCTGGTTTTTACAGACCTTTATTCTTAGTAGATTGTTCTGTTGCTTTTACCGTCCCTATTTGCACCACACGTGCAGCTGTAGAAGTGTCGGAATCTTACTGAGAGCCTATCCTGCAAACCTATTTGAGCAGTTAACAATTGTGCTCGTATAAAGACCTTTTACTCACCAACCTGGCCTGTGATTTCTTTTAAATTTGTGACCTGCCGATTTCATATGATGTTTCTGCTTGATCCGAGCATAATGTTTAACCAACAGACAAGGCTTTGTTAGATGACTCTGAATTCCGCAAATATGTAGAGCTCTATTCCAAGGTAAACACTATAACTCAATTCGTTGTTTTTGTCTGGTTTTTACAGACCTTTATTCTTAGTAGATTGTTCTGTTGCTTTTACCGTCCCTATTTGCACCACACGTGCAGCTGTAGAAGTGTCGGAATCTTGCTCAGAGCCTATCCTGCAAACCTATTTGAGCAGTTAACAATTGTGCTCGTATAAAGACCTTTTACTCACCAACCTGGCCTGTGATTTCTTTTAAATTTGTGACCTGCCGATTTCATATGATGTTTCTGCTTGATCCGAGCATAATGTTTAACCAAACTGAGTCGGACATTGTTGAATGCCGACTTCTATCAGCAATGTTGTGGACATCCCTTTAGGTGTTATAGGGCCAGTGTTCATTATGAAAATAAATATTCTGCATGATACCTGAACTATTACAATAGCCAACTCCTAGGATGGTACATTGTTTAATTGATTGAAGTTGCTTGAATGTGATCAATCCTTTTAACATATTCCCTCCCATTTTTGGCATTTGGCAGGACGAGGACGCATTCTTCCGAGATTAGAATCTCATAAGAAGCTTTCGGAACTCGGGTTTACTCCTAGATCTGCTCTCTCCAAGTCGACCGTGAAGGACAGCACCGTATTGGCACAGAGTGCTGTTGGGGTTGCTGTTGCCGCTGCCGTGGTGATCCTAAGCTACTTATACGAGGTCTGCAAAAAAATGAAGTGAAGCATGCTATCTTTCTAGAACAGAACACCCGTTATCAATTAGCAGAACTTGGTAACTATTATCTGGCTGTGGATATGTAGTTCATTTCCTCGTACGTGATGTCGCTTCGAATAAACTGTATTGGTAACTATTAAAGGTCTTGTATTTGAAGTAAATAAGAAAGACATGGATAATGTGCTCTTGAGCCACTTCAATCCATGATATTTCTTGGGCCTGTAAACGAATCGAACAAACACGAACGAAGATATGTTCATGTTTGTTCGTTTAACTTTAACAAAAAAACGAACGAAATTTCTTGTTCAGGTTCGTTCATTAAGAAATTTAGTTTGTTCATGTTCTTTGTTTAAATGATAAACGAACACAAATGAACGAACATAAGCAAATACGAACGAACTTAAACAAGATTATTTGGGTTTATATTTGAGAATAGTTTTTTCTTTTCAAATAATTTTAGGATTTATATTTTCTTTAATTGATTTAAGTATTTTTTATTTGAGTTTAAAATTAATTGAGTTTTAAAAATATTAATGGGTTTAAGGTTAAAATTTATAAGTCTTAATACTTCAAATAAGTTTGGAGAGCATAAACGAACATAAACGAGCAGATTATCAAACGTTCATAAACGTAAATGAACGAACGAACTTTTTATTTGTGTTCGTTCATTGTATTAAACAAACATAAAATATTATTCATGTTTGTTCGTTTAATAAATAAATGATAATAAAAGAATTTCTCGCCGAACGGTTCACGAATGGTTTGCTCAATGTTCGGTTGGTTTATCAATTATGATGACCAATAAAATGCTTAATTTTTTAAGAGATTAAATAATATATTTTTAAGAGGATCGAGGGCATGTAATCTGACACTGTTTATGTATTTAAAAATTATAGAATGATCGATAAATTTATTGAATTGTTATTAAATGATCGCTATGATATCATAACAAGTGTAAAAGTTGAATAAATTTAATAATAATTTTACAATAATTTGATAAAAATAATATTATTTTGTAACAGTTTGATAAATCTTAACAGTTATTTTTTATAATAATTCAAAAAATTCAATTATTATTTTATGATATTTGAATATTTGATAAGCAAAACGATTGTTTAAACAATTATTTACACATTTAAAAAAAAACTAGAAAAATTGTAACTACCATATGGATATACATGTTGGATAATTTATCACCCGATAAGGACTATTCACCAATCAAATCCATTATGCTTTGGGTGTCATGAGATGACAAACTTGGGGTCTACCAAGAAAAGAAGTTAAATGGGTACCGAATTCATTATGTAACGGGTATTTAATACATATAAATATATGGACAAGAGAGAGAGAGATTGAACAAGTGTTGCTAAAGAAAATAACCCAATTTAGGGTTTGATTACCCCAGAAGCAATTATTAGTGCTTTATTAATAAAAGTGAAAGTGGGGGAAATTATAATGGGGACAATTGGAGTTGTCCTTAAAAGAAATAGTTCATACTTAGTAGTGATAATTTGGATGTTAAAATGATTTAAACCAAAAATGAGTTGAGCAAGTGACATAAAACTATTAAAATTCAGAGTGGTTATAACTCTGAAAGACCATAAAATTTTTAAAATTCAAATTAAACTCACTCAAAAGGACTCGATCTGAAAATAATAACTAAACAAGTGAAAAAGGTAGAGGTGATGCATACTTTATCCTCAAATCAGTACACATGGACCATAGAAGTATTATTACAATTTAGAAGATGAGATTAGACAAGTGTTAAAAATCTATCATATAAAGGAAAGAGAAAAGCACATGTAGGAGTGATTAAAATGAAAAGGAAATAAAGTAAGAGGGCCATAAACATGATTTTTACAGCAACAACGAGTCTCCTAATAAGCTTTGTGCTTAATCACATCCATCCCCATCTCGGTCGGATCCGTTGCTTGGACTTCATAGTGGATGCCATCAAGCACTCTCCTCAGCCCGTCTTTTGATGTTGCGTACAGCATTTTTGCCCTTATTCTTGATGCTGTTGGGGACCTAAATGAATAAATAAAAAAATTACCCACTGTTTTCATGATCTTTAATGGATTTGGACCATCAATTCAGTGGGTGGCATGCACATTTGTCCTTGGTTTTATAAAAAGAAATTGAAATGAAAAAGGTGGGGTGTTGACTTGGTGAACGGTGATCAATCACCATTCAAAATCATATTGAATAAATGTATCCAAATAGAGGTAAAAAGGCGATAAATAAATTATTATTTTTTAAATTTCAAGTTCGAACTTAAAAAATGTTACAAGTTTATACTTTCAATATCAAATGGTTAATGCCGTCTTTATATAAATAATGATATTTATAACTCTTTTGACAAATTTCTATTTAAAAATAAAATATTTTCCAAAAGTAGAGAGATGCTTTGATTCCTATTTGATCAAATATACCATTATTGATACCTCCCCCCCAAATAATGCTAATTCTTTGATTATTCTTAAACTCTAAATGGGAAAATAAGAAGCTAATTATTATTTTCTATATATACCATCTCCATTTTACCCTTGTATAAATAATGATATTCTCATTTTAGAGAGGGTAAAATAGTTAATTTGTGTTCTACTAAAGAGAATAATCAATGACGAAATGTATGGGAAAGGCAACGAACCATGCGATAAAGAAGATCTTGCTTTTCCGGCAATTATCAACGGTGACGAAATCGAAATCGAACACGGCATACCGGCAATCGTCGGTGGGCAACGATGCGGCAAAATCATCGTAGCTCTCACCGGGGCTGCCGACCTTATCCACGGTCACCAGCCGCGATTTTTCATCGATCTTGAACACTATGTACCGATGCACTTTCTTCCATTTCATCTCCATGAATGAGTTCTTGCACTCATCGGCGACCCACATCCCGGTCGTAGCCTAAAATATCGTAAGCCCGAATCAAGTTGAATCGAGTCGATTAAGTATAATTAAAATCGAAAGGAAACTAAGGGAAAAAAAGAAGACAAAAGAACTAAATGAGACGTACCATCTTGAATGCCATCGCCATTGTTGAAGAGTTGTTTGAGTGAGCTCAACAATTTGCCTATTTTCCCTCTTTTTTTGTCGCTGAAACTTGAAAGCGTAGGTGATGAGAATTGAAAGCTGCAATGGGCTTTATATAAAGAAATACGTTTTGGAAATGGCATCAAAGTTCAATACTAATTACAACTCTGTCTAATACTATGTTTAGGGATGCCAAATTAACTCGAAACTAATGAGTTACGACTCAAGCCGATTTGAAAGGATCGATTTTTTTTTAAAAAAAAAAGTGGGGTCTATTTTGAGTCAGATTTTTTAAGAGGTGAGGTCAGATAAACTCGGGTTGTAGAGAATGAAAAAATTTGAGTTGATTAGATTTGGGGATATAATGTAATTTCTTTAAAAATATATTATATTTTAAATTAAATCCTTATTTTACATCGGGTCAGGTCAGATTTATACTCTAAAAATTCAAGTCATATCAAAATTGAATGGTAGATATGTATTTTTCGGTTTGAGTCGAGTTGATAAAATCCTACCCTTACTCGACACGTTGCCATCCCTAACTATGTTATGTGGAATAAATAGTCTTGTTATGGGATCTTATTTGATTGGCTCGAAATTTAATTAAAGTATTATGACTATTGAATATTGATAATCTAAAAATAGAACTTAATGATAAAATAATAATTGATATTTTTTTGAATTAACCGACTTATTTAGATCAAGTGTTGCAGAGGTGAGGGCGACTTTTTCAACCCAATTTACTTCATTTGCAAACGCAATGTTCAAACCCCTAATCTTGTTCAAGGGATTTAGTGGTTGATCCTACCAGACGAATAGATTGTTGAAGTTTTAAGTTACATTCTTTTGAAAAAAAATTGGTGATAAATTTAATTATCCACTAATCATTCCAAATAATGTAATATGGTGGAATTATTTCACTTTATTTATTGAGTATTAAATTTTGATTGAATAATAAGTGGATTAATAACATATAGTACAAAAATTTTATGACTCAGGTGTGTTCAAATATAATTATATTTTAATTATCACTTCAATTTATAATAAATCATTACTTTTTAGAAGGAAAAAATCACTATATAAATTTATATGAAAGTAACATACGATCTTCTTCCTTTAGAAAACAAAATTTGTTTTCTAATATAGATATGTGTTGGACTCAAATTGATGAATCAATCAATTCCACCAGACCTGTCCTGCAAATCGTCCACCATGATTTGAATCATTTAAAACAAAGTAAAATATAGTTATGTCGTACGACAGCCTTAATATACGATTAATAAAGGGTCTTATTGGAAATATTAATATTTTTATAATATTTCTGGTAAATAGCTACCTAAAACATTATTAGTTTTATCGGAAATGTTAATTTCGCTACCTAATTTCCGGTAGAAAAAATAACATTTTAGGTAGCGCCAAGTATTAACATTTTCAGTAGAAAAAATAATGTTTTAGGTAGCGTTTAACGGAAATGTTAAACATTTTAGGTATCACTCAATATTAACATTTTCGGTATGAAAATAATGTTTTAGATTGCGATTTATTTAAAAAAATATTAATATTTCCGGTAACGCATTTCGTTATCCGTATATTAAGGTTGTCATACCTTAGTTATCCCAGTAAAATTACATATTAAACACAGTTCATATTTGCTCTAGTGAAATCACCTACCATCATTTATGGAACTGATCAGTACATTATTTTATAAAATGGGTGCACTATAGAATTTGTCGCTTTTATTTGAGTTTTATAAACTTGTATTCATGAATTCAAAAAAATATGATTTTTGGTCATTTTCGATTCATTTTAATTAAGATATGATCACCGAAGATTGACGGACGTTAAACCTTTAACGGTTTCCTGATGTGGTACTGTAAGTATATAAAAGGTTAAACTACATAAAAGGTCACTTTCCTTTTATATTCGTACACTTTTGCTCACTAAATTTAAAAAACATAAGTTTTGGTCACTTTCGTTATCATTTTATTAAGTTTTAGTCACTTATGTTATCGTTTTATTAAGTTTTGGTCAATTGACGTTGAATTTCGTTAGTTTGATGATGTTATCCGTTAGTAAAATGGTTTAATTTTTATTTTAACCTTTACATTTTAGATAAAATATTGATTATGAGTCTTTTTGTAAATTTAAATTAGTTTAGGGACAACATTTCAATTTATTCATTTTTAATAGGTTTTCTTCCCAACCCCATTGTTGTTCATATTCTCTCTGCCGTTGCTTCATACATCTATGCTTTATTGTTGTATTTGTCTTCCTTCAAGAACTCATGCTACATTTCAAGAATAATACAAGATTTTCTTATGATAGCAAATAATAGCACCGCAAGTTTAGGAAAAAAATGAGATGGTAGGCATCTATAGATAAAATGAAGCTGGGTAATCTCAGTTATATAAACTAAAATTGAATTTCCAAAGACTGAGATTGCAGAATGCCAAATCCAACAAGGAATAGAAAGACAAATCAATAGATCAAAATAACTCGATAATCATATATCACTCCAAACAACTCGATAACTGGATTAAATTCAACCACTGAATTCAATCCAAAATCCATGATCTTCAACGTCAAATCTTTGTTTTTTCTCTCAAGAACAAGCAATTTTTCAGATTATAGATCCTTATGAATAATGTTCGCCTTATGAATCACTGTTAACCCCTGCGACCTACATGATCTTTCGTACCACCACCATCGCACTGACCTTCGAGTACCTTATTTCTGCTACATTTCCGATCGAACAACTCACCACCGGAGCAGAGATCCAATAAGAATTGAACATCGGTTTGATCTTCTTAAATGTCGTGGAGGTTGATCACGTTCAGATGCGACGAAACGTTCTCAACGATCTTTTGCATAATGGGATATCATTGGTAAATCGCGTTGGAGATGGAAACCAGGTATTGCGTCGTCAATGATGCCGCCATTGAAGATTCTCTAGTTTTCTCGGCTCGAGACGTTTGTGTGGTGGTGGTGGTGAATCTTTTTAGAGTTTTAATAGCGAATTTTTTACATTTTTCAAGATCTTCACAACTTCTTTTCATACATTTTTCTTATACCTGATAACCCACCTAATTTAACTTTAAATAATTATAACTAAAAATTAGAAACAAGAAGACTATTACAATGGAGCATAGAAGTTTGAAGAAGAATCGGGGAGAAGATGAGCAATAATGGTGGTTAAGGAGAAAAAATATTTAAAAAATGGGTAAATTTGAAAGGTTGTCCATAAATTAATTTGAATTTACAAAAAAAACCCATAATTAGTATTTTATTTAAAGTTTAGGGTTAAAATAAAAATTAAACAATTTCACTAACGGTTCACATCATCAAACTAACGACATTCAACGTCCAGACGACTAAAACTTAATAAAACGATAACGTAAGCTACCAAAACTTATGTTTTTTGAATTTGGTGAGCAAAAGTGTACAAATATAAAACGAAAATAACTAAAATCCAAGTATTATCTACGTGAAAATAATGTAATTTTGATTTTATATATTCACCGTGATATATTAACAAACCGTTAAAGATTTAATAATCATTAACTTTCAGTGATCACATTTTAATTAAAATGAAACGAAAGTGACTAAGTATCATAATTTTCAAATCTCAAACAAAAATAACCGATACCAGTTCAAAGTATGAATACAGGAAATGGAAGGAGAAATCCGAAAGTGGCTTTTTGTTTAAATCGAAAACTCAGATGGCTTTTTACCGAAAAAAAAAGTTTTAGCTAAAGCATAAAACAAAGTAGGAAAAACTACAGTGGTCCCATCTGGGATACTGCGCCTCTCTCTCTCTCTCTCTCTCTCTCTCTCTCTCTCGTTTATGTGTACTTTACGTAAAAGCAAATGTACAAGAAAATATAGATATTTATTGAATCGAACGATAAATTTTTTTTTTGTTGATTCACTTTAGAGTAATTGGAATTTTTGTGTCCATTAGGGATTTGGGGCTAAAAGGGAGAAGAAAACAGAGGTCACTAAATTAAGTGCTAAGGATCCTTTAGATATATGCTTTTGAATTCGAGTTTTGTAAATGGAAAAAAATAAAAAAAAATGTAAATGTTTATTAAGTAGAGTGGTAACAAATTCATTTTTTTACTAAAAATTTTAGGTCAGAAGTGATATCTTCAGTCTAGATCAGAGCATATCTAAAACTCAATTGGGATTTACATAGGAAGTTATATATTGCTCACAAATGACTTAAAGAAACGTCGTCTCCTGGAACAACTTGATTAGTTTGATGTTAAAAAATGGATACAAGGAAAAAGCGTTGGATGTTTATAAGCTTACGGTTTCGGAAGGTTTTTTCCCCTACCCATATTACCTTTGCTAGCGTTTTGGATTTGCAGCTTGGGAAGAGATGCCACGATCTTGTTATTAAGATTGGTCTTGACAAGAATATCTTTGTCTGTAACGGATTATTGTCTGTTTATGCTAATTGTGGGATTATGAGAGATGTTCAATATTTTTGGGACATTGATGAGCCTAATGAGGTTACTTTTACCTCAATGATGGGTGGGTTAGGAAGTATTGACGGTGTCTTTGAGGCTTTGGGGATGTGTAGAGTGATGTGTCGAAAAAGGTTTCGGATTGATTTTGTTTCCTTGTCTGCTGTTTTGACTGTTTGTACAAAGGGGGGAGAGTATGGTGAATCTGGTTGCTATGAAGATAGTGATAGATTAACATGTAATGCTGTACTTGGGGAGCAAGTACATGGTCTTGCAATTAAGCTCGGATAGTTTTTTCATAATTTGGGAAAAGTTTGTGTTGTTTCCTGGAATATTATGATTGCTGGATATGGCCAGAAACGAAATGGTGGGAAAGCTATAGTGTGTTTTGAAAGGATGCAGTTTTGTGGTTTAAAACCTCGTGAGATTACTTATATTAATATGCTTGCAGCATGTGTGATGTGTAGAGATGTGAAACCGCACGTCAGATGTTTGATAACATGCCGTGCCCGAGTGTTGGAATAAGAAGAAGAAGAAGAGTCAAATGGTCGGTCAAACATATCGAGTCAATTTAGTTAACGTGTCACATCAGTATTATGTTATTGTAGTAACGATTGTTAACGGCTCTTAACGTCGAGTGACCATTTTGTAACAAACGATAACGTTAGTGACCGATTTGTGACTTTTAAAACATCAATGGTGAAAACGAATACTAATCCAAACATTAATGACCATTGGCGTAGTTTACCCTTCTTTTAACTTGAAAATATTATGTTACGTTTAGTTTTAGAAAATATTTTTTATTTTTATTTTCAGAAAATAATTTTTATTTTCAGTTTTTTGAAAATTGTAAAACATGTTTGGTTAATATAATAAAATCTAGAATTCTGAAAAAAATAGTAAAATAAAGATGAATAAATAGATATTAAATAATTAAATTAAAAATTAATTAATAAAAAATTATTACATAAATTGAATAAAGTGAGTTATGTAAATATAAAAAAATAAAATTTATAAGAAATTTAATAACACAACTTTAAATTTATAATAAGAATGTAATGCTTTTGTATATTGAACATCAATTAAACTAAAAATACATTAAAAATATTTTTATAAGTAAGAGCATACAAAAATAACATTAAAATAAAAAAAATATTCATTAGTATTAGCTTGGGATGGACTAGTGTAGCACCTGAATTTGTTTTACACTAAATGTGACACTTAATTTGAGAGAAAATAATATAATCTTTTGACTAACAGAAACAAATATTAATCGTCATGACGCTTACACGACAATTTACAAAGTTACATGATAATCTAAAATGTTGATGTGATATTTCACAATGGATGATAATGTGATAGATGACTTAATTTTTTTTTGTTAAGTTCGAGAGTCTAATTAATTTTTTAGAAAGTTTTAAGATTTATTTATTTTTTTTTAAAAATTAAGAAATTATGTAAATTTAATACAAAATATAAACAATTATTAAGATACTCAACACATTAAATATTAAAATACTAAAAAATAAATTAGTTAAAAAATAATTTAAGGATCACATTGAGTATAAAAAAGTTTAGGGACTATATTGATTTTTTTAAAAAAAGTTTGAATGTTTCAGGGACAATTAAGTTAAAAAATTATTGTTAGAAGGATTTGAATCCATGTAATTTAAGTTGAAAACACTGAAAATATGTTTTTTATTTTTTCATATTTTCACTTATTTTTATTTTCATTTTCTAGAAATCATTTTATAATTTTATAACTAAACACATTTTCTTCAATGTTTTATATTTTCTAAGAAAATAAGAATGAAAATAGCCTATATTTCTTAGAACGAAACGAACCCTTAATTTTCGAGATATCAAAATGTATTTTTTTTTTCATTTTAGCCAAAGGGGACAAACTCTTCTTGCACGGGAAAGTCTTACGTGCGACAACCTTAATATACAGCTAAGGAAAGATGCTACCGGTTTTGTTATTATTATTTTTTAACAAAACCGGTAAAAAATTACCGAAAATATTATTATTTCTACTAGTTTTGTTATTATTGGGTGTTTTATCGATTTTATCAATATATTCGGTAAAACACTATCTAAAACATTATTTTTTTTCATACCGCTTTTGTTATTATTTCTACTAGTTTTAGGTAATTTTTTTACCGATTTTATTAAAAAATAATAATAAAATTAGTAGCGCATTTCTTTAGCCGTATATTAAGGTTTCACTCCTTCCTGCTCCCTTTTGATCCGTCCCTACTTGTATTTCAGTTCGACATGTTTTCGTCATTCTACCAACTTAACATATGGCATGTTAATAAGCCGAACAGGTAGAAGGATTTAAATTCAAGTACAAGGATTAAAAATCAAAATTGCTAAATTACAGGGACCGATGGCATATTTTAAACCTTTCTCTATTTATTAAGAGGCTAAAGAAACTGGCACCACGTTGGATGTACTACATTGGACCATAACAAAAGCTACAACTTTGGTGAAAAACTTGTGTACAAAACCTAGCATGGTTTAGTTCTTTGGTGATGAATGATATACATTTGATGCTAAATTCCAAGGTACTAATCACGTTAAGTTTTTAACAATGGATACTAAAATGAAACAAAAATTAAACGTTAGATATAATTTTTTAAAAAAATTAAAAATTTAAGTATTAAAACAGACCAAAATTAATAGTTTAAATACTAAATGCGTAGTTTACCCTATATAATTCTACAGGGATTCCTTTTCCACCAAATAAAGTACACAAGAGGCTCCCATACCATGGCAGACAAAAGGCAAAAGCTGAACTCACAAAAAATTTCCTCAATTCACATATTCACATTGCAGACAAGCGTTTAAGCAAAGATAACAAATACCAAATGCCCATTTATCCATAAAAAGCTGCAAATTTTCTAAATAATTCACACCAACAAACCAAACCAAAAAATAAAAAAGGCCGTACTACATAGATGGAGAAGGGCTACAGGTAGAATTGATGCCATGAAAACCAAAGAGATAATGCAATGAGTAGACTACAAGGAGCTGTTGCTGGTGTGTCTCCCATTGCTAAACCAGCTAACCATGACCCATCTGTCAACATTGTTTGCCCAGACCCTCCTGCTTCTGGTTCAGTGTTCAAACCCGAACCCGAGTAACCACTTTCAGGGTATACATAACCTGAACTTGTATATCCGGAACCCGGATATCCATAACCGTTACCCGAATACGTTAACCCGGGTTCCAACCCTGATCCTTGTGATGTTGAGCCTGTCTTTGGGGTAGTTGGAGTTGTTTCTGTTACAGGGGTAGATTTCTGACTGCAGCAAGATCAGTAACAACTTGTTAATTATTAGTGTTGTAAATATAGTTTTTTATCTAAGAAATGAAATCATGGGTAATATCTAGTGTTCAAATAAATCCCTATTATATCTGAAGTTAAATTAGAGGCTATATTATAACGTAAAAGTGATCATTATAAAACTTTTAAAAAATTTAAGATCAAAACGGTAATTTAAATATACTTCAGTGATCTATGGTGCATTTACACATAATCAAAGGAATTGATAGTGAAATATTACCTTGGAGAGGATGGACAAAACGTCACCGTATAGTCTGCGCCAGTACAGGTGAAAGTACTCGTAGTATCATCGTACGCATAGCTGTAAGATCTGGGACAGGCGGCCTTGAACATCTCGGAATAAACGGACGGCTTGCATGTGGCGGGTGTGCCGTACGCGCCGCTACAACAATATTCAGGGCTTCCAAACGCCTCGCACGCGCTTTTGCAGGCGTCGCCGTCGCCGACCCGGAGTTCCGACGGACACTGTCGGTTCAAGTCGGTCGTACACCCGGTAGAAGCGCAACGACGGGACCCCCCACTGCCTTCGACAATCATCGGCATGTTGTAGCCGTCAACGAGGCTGACGTCGTAAAAATCTTGCCCGCCTGTTCCAAGAGTGAACTCAGCCAGAGTTACGGGCGGGGCAGCTCCGAGTCCGTTGCATTCCACCTGACCCGATCCGCAGTCGCCTGTCAGGCAGGTTCCGGAGCCGGATCCTTCGAATTTGCAGCCCGTTCGGCCCCAGAAACGACCCGACCAACCCGTCGGAGCTTGAAACGAACGAGACGAGTCTTTTGGGAGCACGAATCCAGTGCTGTCGAGTTTAGGACTGCCTGCATTTGCTAAAATCCCAGGCCAGACATTATAGTCACATCGGTTGACGAATGTAAACGAAGCACCATATGCATCTGACAACACACACACACATAAAGATTAAAGACCGGTTTTTTAAGTGTAAAGATTAAAACTTTGACATTTTAGAAGAACAAATTTTGCTAAAAGAACAGAGGGAGCTTGGTTTTAACCTTTTTGGGGTCACAAGCAAGACAATGAGAGCTAATGAGCTAATGAAGTGAGGACCCATCAGGGTTCTGGTGCTGCTTCCTTCCCCTTTCTTAGTTAGCTAGATGAAGCTTAAAAGATTTAAAAATGGAGCAGCGTGAACGTGAAGTATCTGGGTTTAAGGTTCAGAATATGGACAATGACGCAACAATGGCGGAACAAAGGACAATGTAGTGGTTAACTTCGAGTGGAGAGAGCGAGTTGAATCTCCATTTTCCTACACGATTACTGGGAATTCACTCCCCCATTTTCCTCTTTGATTCGCCTTTTAATAAAATAAGTGAAAAAGGTCGATAAAGTAATCATTTCAAAGAATATTTGAGAAAGCAACTAGATTTTGCATGGATCATTGTTATTCATAAGGGTTCTATGGACAAATGGGGTCGATTAGGCCTGCACCCATGTGATTTTACAGTTTGAACACTTGTGCTTGAATTGATCGGATGGACGTTGACGGCCAGAGAACTCCAGCTAAAAAAGTTGGTGAATGTTACATGGTTGAAAATTCAACACCAAATTCTCACTCAAAAAATTTATCCAGCCGTATACCATAAAGCCAAGAGTCTTGGACTATTTGAGGCAGAGTTTAGGGTGTAGATATGATTCCACTTTATGCCTTTTGGGACAGGTCCCTTTACTTTTGTCTCCTCTCCTTATCTCCCCTTCGTTTAAAGCCAATGGGTTTAGGGTTTCAAGATATAATCTAATAAAAAAAACATTTGCAACCCTAATTTTCCCTTTTCTTTTCCTATTAGTTTATATGTTTGTTTGCTTCACTTTCTCATTGTCTGTCCTATTTGTAAGTATGTCTTAAGCTAACTCCATCACATGATCAACTTGCGGCTGCAGCTTGGTGGTAAGAATTTTACGTTGTGGCCGTAAAGACCTGGGCAAGAATCCCAGCAGCCACACCAATTTGCTTTTTTGTACAAGAAAGAGCCACTCCATGGCATGGGCAGATGGACCGCCAAATAGATAACTAAATGAAAAGGAGTCGATTGCTTTGATGCAACAATGTCTTGAATTTTTTCAAAAAAAAAAAAACAATGTCTTAAAATTTTAAAACAGTTCTAAAAACTATGTTTAATCTCAATGCCAATACAAGAAGCCTTGAAACACAACAGACACTAGACCATCCATCTTTCGGTTACATATTTTTCTTGCACTGCTAATAAGATTTATAGGCTCGTCGATACTCCAGTTGCTTGGTATTCTCTAGTAATACCTGCCGACCAAAGGAATCAACGTTTAATCTCACGTTGCTAGGAACGGTTGTCATACAAATCATGGACAAGAAAATTTCAAAGAAATGGAGGATTTGACAGATAAAAGGGAATGCCCTTACTTCTCTAATGTAGTTTGCTACAGCCTTGCAGCCTTCAACCGCAAGTCCCATGACATTTTCGAAGATATCCACTGGTAACTTAGCATCCATCTGTATTTTGGCTTAGTCAATAGTCTCATGTAAACCAAACCCGAATAAAAAAAATGAATGAGAAAACGGAGACAGCAAGCAAAAACCTGAAGTAGAGTCACTTTGTCCAACTTAGGCAAGATCCCTACGGTGACATCGGGGCCTCCAGCACTGTCTTCAATGTAGTTCAAATCTGCATATACAAAAAATATTAATTCAATAATTCAAATGGAATACAAGAAGAAAAAAATGAGAGGAAGAAGAAGAATTCAATTGACCTAGCAGAGGAGTGCTATTTAGATACCCAGCACTGCAAGAAGTGACAATATCGAGCATTGGGATCCCAGCATCTGCGAGGGCTAAAGTTGCAGCATTGATACATGCTGATCTAGTTCCTGAAGATACATTTATTTTTTTTATGCTTCTTTTTTCTTTTATGCCGAGAGAGCCGGGTAATAGAATAAAGAAATAAGGGAAAAACACAGAACTATGAGGTCAAACTGTTCAATGGTGTCATTAAAACACAAGTTGTTGGTTGGGATGGTGAACAAAGTTGCAGTTGCATAATATGAAAATGTAAACTGAGCCAATGATCAACAAGAAGTTTCGATGCGTTTCATTTTACCTCCATCGGCTTGAAGAACTTGAACAAATATATCTATCTGGTAAAAAAAAATGAGTAATTAAGAACAACTCAGAAGAACTGAAAAGCAATGCTAGCGGTGGTATATAATTAGGGTATAATTCAAACCTGAGAACGAGGCATTAGATGAGTCAAAATGCATGCCTCCATGGTCTGGCGGATGACAAGAGATATCTCTGTCGAACGCCTAAGTGTAGAAAGAAAGATCCATGTCAACGAGTAATATAATTTATTCTTCATAAACCTAGTATCAATCAATTATATCATGCATGGATACTCTGTCATTTTAAATCTCCGTATGAAAGACATCAGTGTTGATGCTACTAGAATGCCTTTAAAAAACACGAAAACGGACATAATTTACTTGTCTTGATCCAATGTTCCACAAACAAATCAGATTCTATATTCCTTCTATCGGATTGAACACACCATAATCTAACTTTAACATCATTATAAGAACTAGAAAATCGGAAAACAGTTCACCTGTCACCCTTCGGTTTCCTCATTCGATCTCCGGTACTAAAATTAGCCATACTGTATTCACAGCGCACCTGATATCCATCACATATATAAATCCAGAGATTATTTCAAGTCACAACTACAACAATTAGACATACAACTTGAAGAACATTACCAATGCCTGGTCATTAAGTTGTTGGCTCCTATTTTGTACCTAAAACATAGTTACATTCATCATCGATAACAAACCAACAACTAAACTAAAACAGATAATCAAATTCAGAAAAAGAAAAAGAAATCTCAATTTGAAGATTTCCATGGAAACCATGAAATCAAAAGGTTACCTCTCGAGGGCCATACACTGCTGCAATGACTTTGGTGTTGCCCATCTCAAAAACAGCAGAGCTGTGAATATTAAAATAAGAAGAAAAAGAGAGAGAGAGAAAGAGAGAGAAAAAAGCTAGGAATTCTAGATTATGGAGCTAAGTAAAACAAGTTATGATTTCGGTGCTTACCCATTAGCTTTGGCGACGGTACCGATCTCTGCACGAAGTTGTCTCATCTGAGAAAGAGAAAACCAATGAAAAAAAGGGTAATGAATTAGAAGAAAAATTAAGAGAGGAGAAGGAAAGATTACTTCCATGGGACGGCGACCGTCCAATCGGAGACCTTCAGGGCTCACGTATTCTGTCTTCGACATTAGAGACTACCTACAACAACCCAAGTGCTAATGTTTTAGGGAAAAATGGATTAAAACCTCCAGGGTTTTTGGTTATCCGGCGGGTTGCCGCTATGAATGTCAATTTAACCCGAAATTAACGAAAATTGACCTGATTCGATCTGACTAGATCGAATTAAAAAAATAATTTTGGGATTGAATCAAGTTAGGTCAGATTTTTTAAAATAGAAAGTCAGGAGAATAGTTCAAGTGGAGGATGAAAAACTTCATCCGAGATAATAATATAATTTTTTAAAAATATTATTTTTTAATTAAGTCATTATTTTATATTAGATCGGATCGGATTTATATTTTAAAATTCAAATCAAGTAAAAGTCAAATGATGATATATATTTTTTGGATTGAGTCAAGCCTAGATCGAATAAAGTATACATATTTTTTTAGTCAGGTCGACCAAAAAGCCAGTCTAATCCAAACCCGTTGTCTGGTTTTTTTGACCCAATAAGACATCTCGAAAATTTTTGTAAAATAGGGCATATATACTTTTAATTTGTGATCTACGATATTTTTTACATTACATGAACCCGTCACGTAGAGGTGATGAGTTTGAATAAAAATAATTTTTTATTCAAATCGTTTACCTTGATAAATTTTAATAAAAAATATATTTTATTAGGACTCGTCACATCTAACTGATGAATTTAAAAAATATATATTATTAAAACTCATCAACTCAACATGACGAGTTTTAACTCGACTATAATATTTGTCGTATTCTCCGAAATAAAACCCGAATGTCCTAATATACTAAATAAAAGAACTGAGATAATCTAATGGGTCAAAAAAGTCCGTTGCCGTCCCTAGCAGTGGCTCAGTGGAACTAGCTTTGCGGGTTTGGGCCTATGCCTATACTTGTTTCCAGTTAGAACTATAAATCACTCGAGTGGAATTTAAGTCAAGTTCAGAAAATCAATCTTATCTTATAAGATCAATATGATATTTATATAATTGAATAAAAGAAACGAATCAATATTATGTTTTTTTAATAGTAGAGACCTTGAAAATCCCATGAAAGAATTGCAAAACCATTGAAGAGGGAAGAGAGAAAGAAATAAAAGCATGCTGATGATTCTTTTGTTTTTTTATTCACTTGTAAAATTGAAAAAAGAAACGTAGTGATCATTATTTATGGGCCATTAAACATGAAATGGTGGTTCAAATGTCATTGTCTACATAGATCCAGAAGAGGGAGCCACACGATCCGCCTGAACCAGATCGTGAACCGCTGCAGGAGGGAAATAGAAAGAGTGAGAGCCGAATGGCTCTAGCCATTCCGTCAGCAATCTTGTTACAGTCCCGAGGGATAAAGGCCATGATAGTATTCCAAGAACGAGCACCTAACTCACGGATGCACATCTCCATTGGGGAACTAAAATCTGCACATTGAAGAGGATCAATTGCTGAAATCGCCTGCTTGCTGTCCGATTCGACAACTAACGATTGAATGCCCAACTCCCATGCTGACTCAGCATCCAAGATCGAACGGACACCGACTGCCTTGGAGAATCCGGCCACCCAATTACCAGCTGAGTCCCTAATTACACCGACGTCGCACGTGCTCAGTCTCGAAGCCGTTCGCCGGGGCCATCAGTATTCAGTTTATACCATCCCTGCTGAGGAGCCTGCCAACACGGGGGGCGTTGCTGCAGCCGCATCCTCGTTACCTGCTGCATACGAAATCGGAGAAGCTCCTGCTGCATCCGAATACTTCTTTGGAGAACACTTTCAACTTCCATAAACTCCATGTCAAAGATAAATCTATTTCTTCGAATCTAGATATTCCATAGAATCAGTCCAAATAATAGATCCCAATCAGCAGGATTGAGCGGGAATCGGCAGTGGTTCGAAAGATTTTGCTCGACCCAATTAATCAAATCTAGCTGGTAAAACTCAGTTTGATGTTCGTGCTTGATCACTCTATTCCAAACAGACCTGGCTAGCAAGCAATCCCGGAGAACATGAACGGCTGACTCAACTGCCGCACCACATCCCAAACACCTCTTTTAAACTATATAAATGGAAGACAAGATGTAATATAGAAAGATCAAATACAATGATGATTTAGTTAGTTAATTGTAGTTCTTTTGGTATGAAAGAGTTTACATTCTAACGTTTAAGAGAAAAAAAAGGATTTTCATAAGAAAAAAATACGTATAGATATTATGACGAATCAAGCCAAGGGTATTTTCTTAGCATATTAATTGCATGGGTAAAATACACAAATGGTTTATCGATTATATAATATAGTTTTGTTGAATATTTCGACTATTAAAATTTATAAAATAATCTTATGATTATAGGATATTATTTTATTGAGTTCATCGGTTATTAAAAGTTATAAAATGATTCTACGACTATTTGTATGTTCCAAACTTATCATTTTTCGTTAAAATTAAAGAGAATATATCATTTAGACTAATTTAAAGAAGTGGTGATATCATTTGGATTATTTAGTTAAAAAAAGTGTCCTTAAATGGAAGATGGAACAGTTAAACAGGTGCATATCGAAGTTAGAAACTATACTTTGCTTGTACATGGACTACTATTAGTACACATGATTAAACCAACTAATTAACTACCAGCACTGGTCGGTCTCCCCATTCCTACCACTGTTATAACCACAAAACCCCGACGCAGGAGCCGCTGGAGGCGGCGTTGCGGAGGAATAAAATGGGCCGTTCCGCCGGTAAAGATTCTTGTCATAATCGGCATGTTTGTTCGGGTCCAATAACGTCGAATACGCTGCATTGATCTTCATGAATAGGTTAGCTGACATATCTTTCTGGTTCAAGGACACAACATCGGGATGAGACGTCCGTACTAGTCGTCTATACGCTGCCTTGATCTCGTTCCCGTTCGCGCTCACCAGAATCCCGAGAACTTTGTAGAGTGATGCAGATGAAGCCATTTCGAAGGCGGAGATTTCGCCGGAGGAAAGCAAGCTGATGGTTTTGGGGTTGAAAGGATGTGTGGGAGATTTATAACTGGAACCAATTTAACCATTTGGTCGCATATGATTGTGTTTTAGATTCTTATCCATAGGTAGCTGTCGCTTGCTGAGTCATCCCACTGTTTTATTTGGATCAATGGTCCCAGTCCCACACCGATCAGCCAATCCCATAAATTTTAATATCTATACTTTTAGTTTTTCTCAAAAGCGTATACAAAGTTTAGTTTTGTTTCATTTTAATATCTGATGTTAAAAATTTTAATTTTTGTTTCATTTTAATATATCTTTCAAAATTTACAGATAAGTTTTAAAAAGATTGAAATGTTAGGTATTAAAACGGATCAAAACTGATAGTTTAGGCACTAATCGCGTTAATTTTTTTAACGACGGATACTAAAATGAAATGAAAACTAAATGTTCAGTATGATTTTAAAAAAATTGAAATTTCAGATACTAAAACGAATTAAAATTAATAGTTTATGTACTAAAATTATTAGACAGTGAACAATAAAGATTATAAAATATTAAAATTCAAACAATAAAGATTGAATGTGGAACTTTATAATGATCAATGCAGGACAAATATAGGCAGTGAACAATGTTATACACACCATATGCTACACATCACAAAACAAATTAAGTGGACAGCTAAATTCCCATGGACGAAGAAATTAAGTGGTAGTTTACAAGAGAGAAAATGATCACACACAAAATTATTTAAAAAAAAAACCATTACCAATTTCATCAACATTTCCCTTCAACCCTGGCCTGTGTGAGGCCGACGCAGGCATCGACGAAATCGTCGTCGATGAAATCCGTCGAGAAAACCTGCAACCGGTCGGCACAACCCTTTGCGAAGTATTGAGCGATGAACAGCCTAGCATATCCATGGATCCGTCTAGTCACCGGCTTAACGCACACTGTAGGGTTATCGGCTTGCGGCGTGACCGTGTTCTCCACCCTGTAAAAGTATTTGCTGGGCCAGATGCTTCAGATTGCTGTCGAATTTGGTCGACGGCAAGTCCGTCCTGATGTCCTTTCTCCTTTGCACCTGCTTAGACATCAGAGACCCCATTTATTATATCAATCAAACATAGCAGAAGAAGAAGATGAAGAAGAAGGATTTCAATGAACACTATCTGGTGGGATTGAACATATATCATTTTAAGCTCGAAATGATAGAAATCAACTTGGTTTCCCACAAGCTGTCTTAATCTGGTGGGGTTTACTCTTGATTTTTGATTGAATTATTGGTTTTTAAAATTGATTTTTGATCGATTATATCTATAGGGTTCTTCCAAATGTGTGGTTGTTGTATACAAACTTTGGTTGGATTATTTATCTGTTTAATTTGGACTTATGATAAATCCATGAGGTAAATGTGGGGATCGGTTGGATGAACTCCGCAATATAATATCCAATTTCATTTGTCCCATTATTATTATGTTTCTGGTTCAACCATCATGGAAACTTAAACCCTTCAATTATTCATGGGTCAAATTACGATTTCGACTCTCTATTATGCTAAATTTGATGCTTTAGTCTTTGTATTATAATTTGATGTAATATGATCCTTTAGTATCATTAGTATCATTAGTATTGATTAAATAACTAACACCGTTAATTATTTTGATTAAAATAATAACGTATGAGTTTTCTCTTTTAAAAAAGGTTTAAGGGTGTCAAGAGCCCCTATACTTTTAAAGAAGTCAATTAGGTTTATGATTTTTTTCATCCAATAAATCCTTTAAATCTGTCAAGGCTCTTAACCTTGTGGTTGTGAGATCGAGTCCCACTGAGGGCAATTCATAACGGAGGTCTTCCACGGAAGCTGCTCTCAACCTGACGTTGGGGGCATCCTACTACCCTACCTCCTCCTTACCCCATTACATATGGGAATAGGGTCAGCTAATTTTATTTAAATCCTTTAAATCTATAGGATTAATATTCAATATGATTTTTAACCAACATAAATCGTTGTTAACTATCACGGTGTTGACACAATGATTAACAATGTTGACGTGTGTCGTCACCGTTTTTCGGCGGAACAATTGATTAATTGTTTTAAAAACAGTCGCGACTTTAATTTTGGAAAATTGAGTGATTTTGTAATTAATTTGGATAGAGTCGCCATCAACCTTTGAGTTAGGTAGGTCAAATACCTAAAAATGTATTTTAAAAATAATTTTAAGAAAAATCATTTTTAAGACAAAAGCTGGTCTGTGTTTACAAAGATTCGATTAAAACATGTTCGGGGGTCGGTTACGTGTGGGGAAGGATTAGCACCCCACAACGCCCAAAACTGGTACTGTGTCACTTATACGTTGTCATAATAGTGGAAATCCTGAATCAAATATAAAGTTAAAATATGACCCATTTATTAAAGTATGATTAATTTGCTTTGAATTGATAACTTAAATGAGGAAATTCAAATGACTGGAGTAAAACAAATAAATATTACAAATCTAAATACAAAATATCAAAAAAAAAATTAAATTTATAAAGACCAAAATAAAAAAACTTTAGGAATCAAAATAACAAAACTAGAAAATTAAAAGGCTAAAATGACACGAACATAAATTTAAAGACTAGAATAGTAAAAATAGAAATTTTGAAGACCATTTTTGAGTATATATATATATATATATATATATATATTAAGGAAAATGTATATTTCAAACGAACTAAAATATAAATAAGTTCAACCAAAATATCATAAATTAATTAAAATTTATTATTAACATGTATTAAGTAATATATATATATATATATATACCCACACAAATATATCATAATATTAATTCTTACTAGATAAAAAAATTAAATAAAGTAAATTAAAACTCAACATAAATAGTAAAATATTAAACATACAATTAACAAAGAATCTAAACAATAACAAGACCAAACAAGCAAATACATCCAAAATAGAATGAATGCTTTCAAAATAATGGTGGACCTCTTATAGTGGTGGAATTTTAAAATAATGGATTCTTGATATCAGGTATTTGAAAATGGGTGCCACTAAAACAAAAAAAAAAATAGCCTAGGTGTCCATCTCAAGGTTTTAAAAATTAAATATGCACAACATGGGTGAAATTTAAGTATTGATGAAAAATATACCAATTATGTTAAGGAAAAAATATGTATAATATAATATGGTCGAATTGAGACAAATAATATTTTAATGAAAACTCTATAAATAAATAAATCTGAAACAAATAATATTATAACAATAACATGACTAAAATAGGATATTTAAAAATTTAGTGGTTAAATTGAACATAACAGAAAATATTATAACAATATAAATCAGTGACTAAGATACAATAATTACAAACATTATAGCTAAAGTCAAATAATAATATAACATATAATAGTGTGACTAAAATACAAATATTAAAAATAAAATACTTAAAACAAAATAAGCATAACTTTATTTTATGACTTGAAAATAAGGATACAAATGATGAAGGACTAAAAAGAAACATGCAGAAAATTAAAAATCAAATGTATCAACAAACAGAAACTAATTACATTACCAATTAGGACTGAAATTAAATTGAGCCTTGTACTGCTAGGTTTGAATATTGGGCCTGCAAACACATGTAATAAATTTATTAATAATAAATATAATAATTAATAATAATAATTATTAATAATAATAATTATAATTATAATTTTTTTAAGCCCGATCAAAAACGGGTGTCTACAATGTGATAGCTCAAAAGTGTTGATGTGCCAATCCTCGTGCTAACGATGATATCCATATTAGGGGGTGTTTGGATGGGGGAATGTGGGATTCCCATGGGAATGGAATCCACATTCCCCTATTTGGTTAGCCCGGGAATCTCATTCCCGGTAATGTAAGATTACTAATAGTGGATTTTTTTGAGTATATTACCGGGAATGTCATTACCTCTATTTCCTTATATATTGTTAGATTCCCGGCGTTTTGGACTAAAATGCCCTTAATTTTTTTAAATATATTTTTTCTGTCATTGAATAATAAAAAAAATCTACGAATGTTAAATTACAAATTTATCCTTAAACTATTTTAGATTTACAAAAAAAATCTATAATTACAATTTTATATGAAGTTCAGGGGTTAAAATAAAATTTTACCCTTTCATTAAACCTTTTTATATTTTCAATTTTGTAAAAAAAATTATATAAATTTTATGAATTTAAATTTTTTAAAGAAACATATAAATATTTTCCAACTTGTTAAAAAACAAAATATATAATAAGAACAATTTGGTCAAATATACATTTCAATAATCTTTTATTATTTTAACCAAACACGATAATCTTACATTCCTGCTAAGCCAATCAAACACAAAGTACAACATTTCCAGTAATTCTATTTCATAGTAATCTTACATTCCCACTGGTAATCTTCCATTCCGTGAACCAAACGCACCCTTAGTATTTTAGTTGATGGCTAATGATGTCATAAACGTAGCTGATCAGATTATGCTAAATTAAAATAGGGATTAAATCCAAATTTGAGTACAATAGAGGGGCTGAAACCGGAACTAGACCTTATGAATGCTTTCCCGTTAAACAAGGTCAACCTTTAACGCAATTTACTCTTCAATGATCAAATGAGACGGGATTTACCAACATCCAAATGAAATAGCCATTAGAGCTTCAAGGAAGAGAATGGGTGATTAGCAGGGGCGGAACTCCATGGAGCCCGGAGTATCCCTCATTCAGGGGTGGACTTCCATGGTGCTCAGGGTATCCCAAGCAACCTCTCCACAAGTGTTATTCCTAATCTAAATGTCATCCCTTAAAAGTGTCCCCTCATTCAGGGGTGGACTTCCATAGTGCTCAGGGTATCCCAAGCAACCTCTCCACAAGTGTTACTCCTAATCTAAATGTCATCCTTCAAAAGTGTCACCCCTGGACTCTTACAACCCCTGACGAAGGCTCCTGGGTGTGATTAGATAGCCTAATTCAATAAAGCGGACAGCACGTAATTGATGAATGTCCAGGAGGGCTACCATGTGCACATATGAGCTTCAATTGATTACAAAATGTCAGTGTTTTCAATCTACTGGTTACTACAAACAAATAAAAAATGGTATTATTTTAACAATTCGATTGAGAAGAAAAACAATGGAGTAAGAGAAAGAAGATTGTTTTGGTGGAGAAGAAAAGGGTATTAATGAAGTTTCTAAAAATTAATTTTATTTTTATTTTAATATGTATTAATGACTATGTTGATATGGAAAATAAAATATATATGTATAAATGACATGTAAAAAAATATTAACGTAACCATTTTTAATAGATTGAGATCATTGATGATATAATAAAAAGGTCAATGAAACAAGACATGAATCATTATCATTCATGAAACTTGACTTGTCTCTCCATCTATGGCCAAAAACCCTACCTATTACATCATTATAAAACATCTGTATTCGACATATTAAATCATGTGTTGATGCACGACGTTAAAGTCCATAATTAGGTTAATAAACTACTATAATTAAAATGTATTAAAAAAATGAAATTAATATATTATATTATCGAATTATTTAGTAAAACAATATAGTTCGAGTTAAGAACACAGTAATTCTACGTTAAAAACAAAAAAGAAAAAAGAACACAGTAATTCTACGTTAAAAGCGAGTGAAGGTACGTAAAATAATGTAAAGCTACTGCTAGTGAACGATGGAAACATTGTAGCCAACTATAGCATCACCGAGTTCATTGAACCAGTGAGTTTTCGCCAACGCATATCCTCGAGCCAGTCGGAAGACGCCGGTTCCGCCGACGACCGGCATCTCCCGAACCGGAGTCATAGCTGAGTTCTTCCCCAAAACGCTAATGGAGCTACCATTGTATATCCCATCAGTGAAGCAAAAGCTCATGGCCATCACTAGGGCCAGCTCACCCTTCCCCGCCGAGCCGTAAACCCCCTGCGCTCGACCGAGCAGCTTGGAGTTAGGATCCGGTGTCTCGGTCAGCGGATCATCCGCCATTAACAAGGCTCCGAAAAGCGTCGGAGACTTCTCGGTGCCGGCGGCTTGAGCTACCTTGATGGCGGTAGGGTTTTTGCCGCTGATCGTGTCGTGGAAGTAGAACTGGAGGTTGGTTACCGCATCTTGCTTGGTTTCGAGCTTCGTGGATGCCCAACTCGATACAAGGAAGCTTAGAGCCGCCCATGGCATGACCGCAACGAGGGAGATGATCAATAGAATGAAGCTTAGCTTGCACATTTTCAAAGAAGAAGATACATAAAACTTTACAGTAAACGATCGGCTTTATAAATAGGCAGGAAAACAAGGATTCAAAGGCAGTTAAACTACAAGAGAAGAGAGATAAAACATTACTAACCCCATTTTATAAAGGCTCCACTTTTTTTTTTACAACGTGAGATACGTAATATTATTTAAAGATAACTCTGTTTGCTATTAAATGTTTATATTTTTATATTTTTTATGCTATCAAAATTTTAATAAATAATAATAATTCTTTTACTATTAAAATAACGTGATTTGTGCCACCTATTTCTCCTTAAAAATGGCAATAAATACTGCAACCGACAGATTTTGATCTGTCCGAGATCCTAGGGGATTCTCTCTGATTAGTTCAACAAAATGAGCAATGTGATCTGAGTAGTTGAGGAAAGTTGTCTGATTTTTCAAATTGAAATGATCACATGTCAATCTAATGTCAACTTCAATCTTTGTACAATTTGAACTTTGAAACTTTAATCTCCCAAGCAATATATGACTAATATTCCTAAAAAACTAAAAAAATCGAATTGGATAAAATAAACTAAATTTATAATTTATGCATAGTACAACGACTAATAGTAAAATTTGGCTTAATAGATTTAAATCATGACCAAACTTTAAAAATTACATGTTTAATTATCCAATTATAATGTGTTTTTTTATGTTAATTATCTTTCTGACATTTTCATCACTAACATGATAATAGTAAGATAATCAAATTATACCAAATTAAGTACATGGATTAAGTTCAAAGTTGGGTATAATAACAAGGACTAAAACTAGAATTGACCTAAATTCACTGTCTGTGAAAACCAGTTGATTCCAGTTCATGGTGCATTAACTGATACAGGTTGGGGTCTCATTGGTAAGCTTGTCAGGGAAAATAAAGGCATCACCGAGATTACCTTCCCCAACAGCACAAACTATATCCTCGGAAAGCAACTCTCTTTATTTCGCTTTGCTTCGCTTTCGACATGTATATATACACCACCGAGGATTAACGTTGATCCGAGTGGGGTAGATGAGAACAATTGCCTTAGAATGAAACCTCACGGCTCGTAATACTCGTCCACACGGCGATGAGTGAATAAAGGTTCGTCCTCGGGATTCTTTATTGAATCCCCACTAATAAACCAAGTAACTATTCCTGCGACGTAAATATATGCATTGAAATAAGCTCTACTGAAAGAGCTAGCATGCCTAATACAATGTGAAACATTTTCAGACAGGTTGATATGGAAAGTTGAAGCAATTCCTAGTCTGCAGTCTTGCTTTACTAAAGACCATATTGTATAAAGTTTTGACGTGCGGTCGCAGGCGCATGTATTAAACAGACGGGGCAGTCCAACGCTAAGAAGGATGTATTTCCTGGGAAAACTTTGCATGGCCTTTGAAATTTGATATCTAAGGAAAGGATTAGTACTGCACATACCTACTGAAGGAGGTGGTTCCTGTTCTCTTGTCACATGAAGTATGATTGTTCCCGACAGTACGGTGATGAATCCACATATCTCAGAAGCAATGCTGCCCGCGTGTTGGCCTGACCAGTCCTGTAAAAAGAACAGGATAACAACATTCACTTGTGCTCGTCAGTCCGGTATTCATGGAAAATTTACAAGCGTAATCAGGTGACAGTCCTGTAGTCTTGTAGTTCTGATGAATCAAATACCTTACCTTAAACATGATTACACTAGCAATAATGGTCAAAGTTGTGAACATGACATAATATACAGGAGAAACAAGTGCAGCATTGAATGTATCCAAGGCCTACAACATAAATACATACACATCAGTCAAGCATGAGAAAAACCAGCCTTTCTATATGACATTACAAAGACAATGAGAAGGCTCATAGTTATACATATTACTCGGGGCAGATTGCATACAAGGGTACTCTCGGTGTATGAAATATCAACTGTACATTAAATTCACTGGGTAAATTGAATGCAGTAAATGCGGAATTAGATCAACTTTACAATTTTCTTAGCACGATTCTTAAAATTGTAAACTACATCATTCTAGCTACGTAAGTAGAGCATATGTTTTCAGGTCATTCAGTTGAATGAAGTTGAGAAAGAAGATTACAGAATCAATAATACTAACCTTATTGAGGTAAATTAATTGTGTAATGACACAGATTGTGGCAACTGTAACAAAAAACCAAGTTTGAGGATAAGCAATCTGACTTGTCCCACCCAATGTAAGCTTTATAGCAATTCCGACGGCCTTGACGCTAACAACCTGCGACACCAACCGACAAAGAAATGCCTTTACATTGTGCTTACAGCATAGTAACTACCATGGTGCTATTCAGATTTACCAAGAAAAGTTCATAACGAGATCCACATACCGTAAGAGAACCCATTAACGAACAGATTCCCAAATAAATCAGTATATTTGTCTGCCCATAACGAGGCTCAAAATGCAAAACCAAAGCTAAAACTGTTGAAAGTGAAGCTGCTACATAAAACAGAAAAGCTGCCGACATAAACATGTGAAAAGGAAAAATAATCAACGACTTGCAATGAGTTTAACAACAAAGAATAAACATATAAAGAGAAGGGCCAAACCTGGTTGTGTTGCTAGAGTCCAAATGTCTTGTACAGAACTTGGGGTTTCCTCTTGGGGTGCATGAATTACAATCACCACCGAACCGACAATGCAGGACACACAACCTACAATCCCCATTTTCTGAATCCGTTCCTTCAACAGAAAGTGTGCCAGGCAAGCACTGTTGAAATTCATAAAGCTTGTAAGCTATCGAGAACATAAAAATAGATGGAGATTCAATAATATCTAAAGAACTTACAGCCAACAAAAGAAGCTTACCTAACGATTATACTTAGAGCACCAAGTGGGGTAACTAGAACTGCAGGAGCATAGATATATGCTACAAAATTTGCAATCTCTCCGATGATCACTATTCATATGGCAGTCAGAACGAAACTCGATAATCAATTCAACACGGAACATGAATTCATCATGCTCATATGTTTGGAGAAATGAAAGATTGTAGTGAGTAAATCGACTTACTCGTTATCATCCCCGCCCACCATAGTGGCTCTAGTAAGTAGGTAAATCCTCCAACTCCTATGTTATAATACCACAGGAAATAGATGGTGAATTTTATTACCCAAACAGAGCAGATTTCTGCTACTGAATCATACAGTTCGACAAAGAAACAAATCATTACTAACCAATCCCATAATCTACAAAGAATCAAATTAAAACTATCAGCTGAATCTATGGAATACCCACTACATCTGATCTGTACAAATTCTTTTACGGAAGCAACTATGTCTATCTCAGATCTTATTGTGCATTTTTATATTGCAAAATCTCAATAGCCATATGTTTGATCGACATATCCCAACTCGTTTCTTGAATTTTCTTCTAAATCGAAAGTTTTACATCTGAAAATGAATTTCAATAAACAAGATCCTGTAGCTCAATCATGAATTAAATCCATTTATTAAAGAAAAAGAAAAGAGAAAACAGACCTGCGCGAATACCAGAAATACCGCCACGCTTGAGCCCTTTCTTCTTCAAGATAAAACTCGAGCCGATGAAAGCGCTTGACGCCACTGCTAATATCACTCCCTTCGAATTGTCGGATAATCCGCCCATTGCTCTTCGATCACATCAATAATCAATCAACGCTTAAATAATAACAGTAATTGTTCTTTCAAAAAACAGATGAATCGAATTCCCGCCAAAATGAAATAAAGATTAATGAACTAATAAAAAAATGAGAAAAGAGAGAAAGAAGCTTAAACCCTCTTTCCCTCCATAGAAGAAGAATTCAATTGAACAAAAAATGCTTTTTATTCTCTTTGATCCGTCGTGTTGTTGGAAACTTCCTCTTTATCAATTTTTGTACGGTACACATAACGGTAGATTAACGGATCCCCTGCTTCACGCGTTATTTTACTTACTCTCGTACTTGCCTTCATCGTTGATAGGAACTGAATCTAAGGAAGCTTCCTTTAATCTTTTTAATCAATCTTAAGGGAGTTTCCCCGTTTACAGGATTTAAAAGAAGAACGGTCTAATTCTGCTCTCAGTCCTTATACTCTTCGCATATTTAAAATTTCACCTCTCTTCTCTTTTAATTTGCTCTACTCTTTTGATTTACTAATTAAAATCTAATTGATAATTTCACGACTTTCAATTTTTGTGACATTTTTTAAGAATAAAAGAACACTTTACTCATATGGTCAATTTAAATTATTGTGAGAGTGTCTGATTGAGTTTAGATTGGATTGATTTTGAATTCTAATCGTAAATCATTTTCTTTAATTAATAATATTTTTAGTTTTTATTGACTAAATAGAAAATATTCTAAAAAATTATAAGAATCCATAAAATAAGAGTAAAGTAGTTGAAGTAAAAGCACGAACCAATTGACCTCGATGATAAAAGAATTGTTGATAAAGTCAAGAGTGTAAGCATTCAATGTTAAATGATTGAGAATTTACTTTGATCATACTAAGAAAGGATTAAAAATTCAACCAAACAACTTGAATAAATTATATGTGCAACAAACAAGCAGATAGGGTTTCTTTTCTAGTTCTAATTATTTGAGGTTATTGTTATTTCATGTTCAGTGATTGGATTATAATCTAAATCATAAATTATTTTGAGTTAAATATTATTCAATTTAATTTCAAACATGCAAAGAGTATAAGGAGTGAAAGCATAATTACACCCAAAAGGTTAAACTATAATTACTATGCTCATAATTCCGCAGGTTACTCGTTGCCTCATACACGGCTTTGTTTGCTTCAAAAAGGCTCAATTTCAAAATCTCGTTAAAATTAAATATGGAGTTTTTTCTGGAAAAAAAAGAGATCTTTCACATGCTACAACAAGCAAGCTATGCCTTTTTCCTGGCCTAATTCTCAAGCACTACCCAGCTACTTCTTCTTGGATTTGGATGCTGATCGGGTGTAAGCAGTTCCCTGAAAGCCGAAACACGAAATCATCAGGCATTCGTTTTTAGACCTAACGGACAAACATCGAATAAACATAGGGTTCAAAGGACTGAAAATGAAAGCAAATTTATCACCGCCAAGGAAATTATGGTAAGTGATAAAGAAGTGTAAGCGATAACCTGAAGCCATTCGTCAAATGAGGCATCTCTACTCGCGGTTCCAACTTCGACCTTTCGAGCCCTCTTAGTTTTCTAGCAAAATAATAAAAACAAACATGCCATTCAAGCTAAAAGAATAGAGATTTTTCTCCATGGATACATGGATGTGCTGTGCTTCGTCTATGGGGAAGTGGATCTTATTTGTAGTTATAGGAATAAATTAATATATCAGCGGTAAGGTGGCACACTTAGAATACCTTGGAGATACGCTGAAATTGACCTTGAATCCATAAACCGAGGAGAACAAGAAGAGCAATCCCAAGGGTAACAAGAAAAACGGACTCCACACTCAGGAAACCACCAGCCTCAACAACTTCAATGGTACCATTATAGAATGTATTTTGGTACGGGTGTTGGTCAATCTCATAGACAATTATACCCACAAGATGGAAAGTTCCAGGCTGCATCAAAGTTCTAAACGTGTAAGCTTAACAGCAATAGCAATCCTTCTCCAATGAATTAAAAACAGAATGGAGGTTATTCCAGTGGGACCTCCAATCAATAGTTCAACCAGTATGCATTTAAATCACACATTTAGGTCGACACAAAACCAGTATACATACTTTTTACAATTACCGAGTGTCGGATTCTCTATAACACATCGAACCGAACAGATCTTTGGTTCCTGATTGAACCAACATAAAGATCCTACATATAGTTCTAGCCTTATAGGGCATAAAACTCTCAGAGTAACCATTTACCTATAAGTACTTGCTAACCGCAAATGTGTAAGGGAAAGTTGCTTGCTTTGAAGGGGGTACAGTTGCATTGTTAAAGGCCTACATTCAAACAGACATTTTCAGTTATTGAATCTACAAGCAAATGTCACAGGCAGTTTCAATCCAACAATGTAGGCTGTGAAACACCAACATAATAAAGTGCATGATCACCTATATAGCAAAAGATTGAAGATCTTTTTCAGATAATGCAACAAACATTTGATAACAAAGTATGAAAGGGAAATAAATTTATATAAAAAAAAAGTCAAAACCAGTGGCACAACATAATAATTGCACAATGACCAATTTGAGCGTGAATGTCTAAACTGTGATTACAAGCTCAGGCTCCAACTAAATAGTAACAGCATTGTAAGGTATACAATAACAGTTAGTGAATTAGGAAAATCTACACTAGTGTCAAACTCTCTGCCATTGTTTTCTTAAACTGAGGAAAAGATCTCTAAATAAGTGTCAAACACTCTGCTCTTGTAATGTAGATATTACAAGAGAACATGCTTGAGTCAATGCCTTTAACATTGTAGACATGGGGTAAAGCAAGCACAAACATGAAAATGATCTAAAAGAACGAATTCAATGGGCACACTATTTTATTTAGGTAATAATAGAAATTAATCAAAATGGAAACTGAACTAACTAATGAACAACAGAAATAGAAAATTTTAACCAGCAAAAACTTGAGAAAACTTATGATTACCAGTGTTGTTAGATTTTGAACAAGCATACGATGATCAAAAGGGAGATGAACACTGGCTGTGACGGCAATAACATTCACAGGTGACTCGCCTGCAATTTAAATAAGTACGCTAAGCATAGTGAGAAGAAAGCCCCACATGGCTGATTAAAAAGAGGAAAGCATTTAAGCATAGACAATGAAAGACAAGAAAAAATGAGTTACCACTTCAACATATATCATCAAATTTCATTATAAAACAAGCCAGTAACATTGTGAAGAGAAAATAATTGGTAATTACCAACATTTTCCATCCCAACAAGCAGTTCAGTGTCTTCTCCGGCCTGAACCACTTCCCAAATACAGAAAAAGGTTAGCCCACTAATAAAAATGCACATCTCTCAAAATCATGCAACAACAAAATCCCACAAGCAGCATGTAGAAGTCGTTACATTTGGCGGTATTCTTTGGGAAAAGACTGACAGTTTCAACTCCCGGAGCTGAGTCAAAATTGCCATTACCAAAATCTTGAACATCGTCGCCAACAACCCCAAGTTCACCTCCTTCGGTAGCTTCTGTAACGTCTGCCTCTGCTTCAGATTGACACCTAACAACTATCACACAAAAGAAAAATCACATCACAACATAATATAAACCAATACAGAGTTACATTCATTTAATTATTAATTTACGGGAAAAAAAGGAAATTAGCATCAAGAAATACCCACTTCATGAATGTTACAGAAATATCAGAGTACTTAACAAGCTCTATTTCCGTTGCCTTTTCTTAGAAAAAAAAGTGGAAAGCTAAATTGAACTTTTAAGAGCCAGTAAAATACCAGTAATACAAATTCTAGGGGAACGATGTATCAACTTCTTTTCAGAAACTAGGAAAAAATAAATTAATGGAAATATCACGACCATACAAATTACAATGCATCTCGATGGAACAGATCAATACAATCGCAGTAAACATGCATGCAGAAAATAATTGAATTGATAAGCATATATAGCTTAATTAATGTTAAAAACTAAAGCGAATAGATCCAGATCTGGAAGATAATTTAAGAACCTTGGAGGATAGGGGAGGCGAGGAGTAGCGCAAAGAAGAAAACCTCGAAGGTTTTGATCGCCATTTTTCGTCAAAGTAGAGGGAAATGGAAATAGTGAAACGATCGGCGTGTGAGTACCAACTCGTACAGATATCGGACTCAAATTACAGTCCCGAACCCGGGATAAAACCAAGCCAAACGTGGGGTCTTTGGTCAATCTCGTGCTTAAATAATGCTAGGTAAATTACGTATTCTCATCACTGAATTTTAATTAAAATTTCTCTTTTGGAAAGAACTCTGTTAAATCTTCCTGAAAAATAAATGTTCAATTTCTTTTGATATTTCTAACATTGAAGATTTTTTTTTTCAAATTCTAACGATGGTAATACAGAAAATGAGAAAAATTATATATTTTGATTTATAAAAATTGTAGATTGAAATTATCCATATAATGTTAAATTAAGTCTAAATTACTCGACTGTATTGTTCAATCACCATGTTATCTTTTGTTTAACACCCCTGACATAGAAAGAGCAATTAAAAAATTTGGGTAAATTACATGTTTGGTATCTAAACTACCAATTTTGATCGCTTTAATATTTAAACTTTCAATTTAATTTTTTTTAAGTTTAAATACTTAAACGAACTAAAATTGATAATTTAAGCACTAAACACGTTAAATTTTTAATAATAGAGTTTTATTACGAAACAAAAATTTAACTTTAGATATGTTTTTAAATTTTTTTTAAAAATTTTGATAATAAAACAGACCAAAATTAATAGTTTAAGTACTAAATATATAGTTTATCCTAAAAAACTTAGTAACCACGGTAAAATAATTTAAAATCGACTATAGAAAAGCAATACAAACAAAATTGAGTGGTGAAATTATCTATGTCAATTATTTGGGTCATTTTCTTTAAAAAAAATCTGCTCCATTAATAAAAATATTTTTTATTTCGGAGTAAATTTGACATGTGCAAAACAGTCAGACCACAACACGTCCTTGTATTATCAAGTTTTATTCTCTAAGATCTAAATCTAATCTACAATTAGAAAAGTTTTCACATATGAGAGGAAGCCTCCATGGAAATAGATAAACAAAAACCATCCGTTTGTAGACGATCTCTAGAATAATTAACTTGTTTAATGCATATGTAGAGGCAGCCTCCTCTTATTCCGCAAGGGTTCGACAGTTGATCAATCTCCATGGATGGTGTATCGCTCCCATTTCCTCGTTGGATCATATATCTGACATACACAGAGAGGAA